TTCTCCCCCCCCCCCCCCCCCCCCCCCCCCTTTTTGACGAAAAAATTTGAACCAAAACTCATTAGATTTGGACCATTTTCCACCTGCTTCGCAACCAAACATGTAATGCTATGGTCTTTGGCTCGTCGCGTCGCTGCCACATCATCACCCCTGAATTTCAAGTATTGTTTCAATTTTCTTAATTCTAGAAGAACCCAATGATGCAATTCCAATAGAGGATGACCCTGAGGATGCTAACTTGCTACAACTTTTTTTTCCTTTTTGTTTGCATTTTGAATTTCAAACAAATATTAATGTAATTTAACATTTAATATTATTAATTCTTATTTAAATTTATACTTTAGCATGTTTTAAAAATATTATTATAATGTCAATAAGTAAATCGCCAATTAAAATTGAACCAAGTTACAAATAATCGTTTGGTTTGGTTTGTAAAAATCTCAAACTGCATAAAATGGTTTGAGATGAAAATATGATACAAATCACATAAAAACCGAATCACATATACCCCTAACTACACATACATACAGTCACAAAACTATATATAAACACACAATTATGAATTCCAAACTCCTCCATACCATGGCACACAAAAAGATGTTTGTGACCGAAAAATATGTGGAGGAAATTATGAATCTATGGAGTCATGATTTATTCTTTCCTTATTCTCAGGCACGTTAAAATGGGAGAGATAGGAACTGCAAGCAGATATTTAGGGAATGAGTATAACGAGAGAAAAAAAAAATTTACTTATCCTCTAATAACCACCAATTTAAGGTCACATTCTTATCTTATATTAGTCATATTCTGAAATATTTTAGTATTGCTATAAAAATAATATTTGAAGATGTGAGAATTAAAAAAAAAATTTAATACAAATTGAATATGTAGAATGAACTTTTAATCCAAATGAAATAAAAATAAGTTTGCTAAAATAATTTAAGGTGTATTCAATTGAGACTTTTGAAAACTTTGATGGACTTTTTTTAACTGATGACTTTTGTAGATTTCGTGGATCTTTTAAAGATTTGTATGGAATTAGTGGAAGTCTTTCGTAGACTTTTATGGATTTTCATTTTAAAATTTTATAGACTTTTGTGGAATTCAAAAGACTTCTGAAAACTTTCATTTGAAATAGAATTCACATGGCTCAGGTGTGAGATTCTCACATACGAGATGTTAGTTCCCATAATAAAAAAGAATTTGAAAAAATAAAAATTGAAGACTTTAATTAAATAATTAATAATCAAAAGTATACATATATATATATAGGATTTAATATTATTAGTATAGTATACTTTTAAAAATAAATAAAAAATTAATATATTTAAATTTAATTATAAATTTTCATAATTTAATAAAAA